GAGAATTAAAAACGCAGTACCTGGCATCTCCACATGTCATTTATTAACTAACCGGCAACCTTCCATGTTGCTCTGGCAGACATCCAAGTAAACAGAGGAACAGGGGTGCCAACAACTTACATCTATCGGCATTATCGCTCATTATACATTGTTTCTTAAGTTCATAATCGATGCAACGTCGATGGAGCGTTTCTCAAAATTAGTCCGTGCAACTTGCAATATGCATAACGTCGAGGATCGCTCGGTGAGTTCCGCGTGTGGCGACATCTGGCAACCAGCTTCAAAGTCACCTTGAAAGCAGTGTTGCCAACAGGTCTTGCAATTAACTATTATATCAGATATCCTCCTTGAACGTAAATCTTTCTTTAGTCCATTTGTAAAAACGTGAAGATGACGGGTTTTTGCATCAAATTCGAAGAAAAAACAAGTGTTGGATCATTTTCCTTATAAATCAGACACCGTTCGACTTGGATAGAATGCAATCAATCATTGTTGCAAGCATTTAAAGCTGACTATGGCAATGCTGCATGCCGCGTCCGAAACCTGCTTGCAACTTTTTTTTTTATTTTCTTCTGCAACAGAACGGAGTAACAGGAAGTAACTGCATTTGCTCAATTGTTAAAGTCAATATCACTGTTTGGTTTGTTACCGACTTTTAGTTAATATTCACGTAAACACATTTTTAACGTTAATGAATCTAGTCCTATTTTTATATTTCCTGAAGATTTTTGGATTAATAAGTAAATCTTTTATCAAATCGATTCGCACATTACGACATTTCGTGGTTTTAGGAACAACCACTAAAAGACATTAAAAAAACATCAAACTCTGCTGTTATATTGCAGTGTTTTGTCTCTAATCTTAAATTATTGCAAACCACGCATGGGTCAGAGAGAGCGGGAGGAGCCGTCAACTTAGCGATTGATAAAACTGCACGAAAGAACCTCGACTCCCTTTGCAACATTTATGCATTCCTATAAGCAATTTAACAAAGTGATATTCTCTATGCAACATTTTCGTCCGACATTGATTTCGACATGCATAAGCAATTTTGAATAAAGGGAGGAATTACTAGTACTCACCTATTGCAATATAGAGAGAGATTGCAAACCTTTGCAAAACTTGAGAGTGGCACCACTGGCTTGCAGGGTGAAGGGGTGAGGAGAGGAATAAGGGGGTGGGGGGAGGGGGTACCTGACTCCATTTTCAAGGTTAAATCGTCCTAGGCTCACTTTTACCGCCATTTTCTCGTCTATGCAATGTGTTTTTGACGTCACCAATCGACAATAATCTTCCATGATTCTTCAAATGACCCTATTCAATTCTCTATTCCCCCTAATTATCATCATTTACACACACTATCTCTTTCTCTCTCTCTTTCCCTCCCTCCCTTTCTCTCTCTCTCTCTTTCCCTCCCTCCCTTTCTCTCTCTCATTTTTTTTTCTCCTTCTCTCTCTTTTCTCTCTCATTTTTTTCTCCTCTCTCTTTACTCTTTCTCATTTTTTTCTCTCTCTCTATCTCCCTTTTCACCCCATTTTCGAATTTCTCTTCGCTCGTCCCAACCACCTGTTTATCCCCTGTGCCCTCTTGGCTTCGCTCGGTATTTGCGACCAATGTAATCTCCTTCGGTCTTGTTTTTGTTTTTTTGTTTTATGTTTGTTTTTTTGGTACGGGTTTTGTTTGTGTATTTGTCATTTAAATGTTTTTTTTTCTATTTCTGGGTCGGATGGTGTGGTTTGAGCTTGTTTGTTTGTTTGTGAGTGAGTGAGTGAGTGAGTGAGTGTGCATGTGCGTGTGAGTGTGAATGTGAGTGTGCGTGTGAGTGTGAGTATTCGTGTGCGTGTGCGTATACAAATCTTACACATACACAGAATAAATACGAGTTCATCAAGTCGTGTACATACATATGTATCTGTAAGCATCACCGCCTCGAGAAAGGGACAGAGATTGCGAAGTAAAAGAAACGAAGAAGGGAAGAGGAAGGGGGAAGAAGATAGGCGAAGAGAGAGAAACCCAGCGAAGGATAATGTGGATTACGCGGCTCATTTCAGCCGAGATTGAGTGCCTGGAGGAGGAAGGAGGAAGGAGGAAAGCCGAGGAAGATGAGGAGAGGAGAGGAGAGGAGATGAGGAGGGGAAAGAGGAAGATGAGGAGGGGAAAGAGAAGAGGAGAGGGAGGAGGAAGAAGGATAGAGGAAGATGAAGAGGGGAAGGAGAGGAGAGGAAAGGAGGAAGATGAGGAGGGGAGAGGGAGAGGAGGAGGAGGGAGGGAGGGAGGAAGACAGGAAGATGGAAAAGGAAAGAGGAAGGAGGAAGACCGAGGAAGATGAGGAGGGGAAAGGGAGAGGAGGAGGAGGAGGAAGGGAGACAGAGGCAGATGGAAAGGGAAGGAGGAAGGAGGAAGACCGACGCAGATGGAGAGGGAGAGGATGAGGAGGAAGGAGGAAGACCGAGGAAGACAGAGGAAGATAGAAAGGGAGAGGAGAGGAGGAAGGAGGAAG